GGGGAGCTAGGTCAAGTATGGCTTGTATCTTAGTGGGATTGGCTTCGATCCCTCTCTGACTCACCATGTATCCTAGAAACTTCCCTGATCCAACTCCGAAAGTACACTTCTTGGGATTAAGCACCATGGAATATTCTCGGAGTATATCGAAGACTTCGGAAAGGTGGGTGATGTGGTCAGAGGCCTGTTCCGACTTTACTAACATGTCGTCTACATAAACTTACATCGTATGGCCGATCAAGCGAGCAAACATCTTATTGACTAACCTCTGATACGTGGCCCCTGCATTCTTCAGTCCGAAAGTCATCATAACATAGCAATAAAGGCCTCGAGCTGAGTAGAACGAGGTATGTTCAGCGTCATCAGGGTGCATAGGAATTTGATTATAGCCTGAATAGGCATCCAAGAAACTCATAAGTTGATGTCCCGATGTAGCATCTACCATGTAATCAATGTGTGGAATGGGGTAGCTATCTTTCGGGCATGCTTGATTCAAGTCTGAAAAATCTATGCACAGACGCCAAAGGCCGGTGGCTTTCTTGACCAAGACAGGATTTGATATCCACGTCGGGTACTTGGCTTCTTTGACAAATTTATTGTCTATGAGCTTATTTACTTCCTCTTCAAGGGCCTTCTGGCGATCCGGGCCAAATTTCCGACGTTTCTGGATGACAGGCTTGACAGTTTTATCCAAATTCAAGCGATGGCATGCTTTTTGCGGGTCAATCCATTTCATATCTTCATGCTTCCAGGCGAACACATCGGAGTTCGACTGTAGGAATTGAATTAGATTTGATCGAATGGGTTCTTGAAGATTAGTCCCGATGCGCAGCGGTTTTTGCTGAGTTGATCCATCCACGTAAATGGTTTCGACATCTTCAACTGGCTCTGCACGGACATGACGATTCCCATCTTTGAACTGCATCCGTGGATCCATATCTTCATGCATTTCTACATCTTTCTCATGAAAAGGTGGTTCTTGATCGAGGACTTTAGTTAATGTTTCAGGTAAAACCGACGTCATAGGGATGTCGGTATCAGTAAGCGGCATGTCGGTGTCTTCTTGAGACACGTCAGTACCTGGAATAAATTGATCAATTCTTTCAGCGTCAAAAGTTGAATCACTTGGCTCAACGGAGTTATCAACATCCTGCTCTTCAATCATATAAAAGCTACGCGAGGTTGAGAGCAACATCAGACTTCGGGCTTCTCGTTGATCTCCGTAATGAGTGCCTTCTCCTTCAATGGTGGGGAACTTCAGGGCATAATGAAAAATTGACACAGCAGCACGGAGTTTATAAAGTGCGGTTCATCCTATTACAACATTGTATTCGTTCTGGACATCCAAGACTTTGAAGGTTTCCATAATGATCTTCGACTTCGGTCCAAAGCCACCAAACCGAATAGGGAGCAATATTTCGCCAACAGGACAAGAAATGCTTCCATTAAAACCTTGAATTTGGTCGTTGCAAGGCTTAATGTCTGCTGGGTCCAAACCCAATTTCTTGAAAGTGCGGAGCATCAGAATACTTGAATAAGCCCCCGTGTCAACCAAAATCTGATGGACAGGAATCCCTCCAATCGGGGCTGTTATAATAAGAGCGTCGGAATGAGGATGAGCAAATTAATTGGCATCTTCGATACTGAACGTAATGGGGCAATTCCGGTTATTGATAGTATCTCGAAGATCAACATTCATGACTCGTTTCTCGGCATTTTGCGCCTCCCGGGCATAGGCTTTGACTTTCCGTCGGGAAGTATCTAATTGCTTATTATTGGAATTGACCCGAGGTATGCAATATGAAGAACCTAAGGCGTCATGTGTCCGGGACTTCCTACAGTTATCAGTCGAGGTTCCGACATGAGTAGAAAACGTGAAGACCTCTTTATCATTTGCGCGAGCTCTTTTCTGGTTAGCGGGTCGATTATCTTCATCTTCATCGTCTGAAAGATCCAAGGGCCTTCCTTTCCGGCGGTTGTCAAAATTTCGAAACTTTTGAAGTTGAGGTTATCCGATTAAGCACAAGAGTGCCGACAAAAGACCGAGACACTCATCGGTATTGTGTCCGGGAGACTTATGGTATGCACAGTACCGAGTTTTGTCCAACTTGTCTTCAGGAGTTCTCACAGGCCTCGGGTTTGGGATAATCCCTTTTCCTTTCAGTTCTTCATATATGGTAGCTGCTCCAGCGGAATAAACGGCATGATAACCTGTCCTGACGTTGTCCGAATATTGATCACGAGCAGCCCGAACTCTGGAGTATTTTCATATCCTTTGGAGGAGTTCCGAAACTCTGCTTTCCCAAAGTTCTTCTTGTTCTTCTTTTTAGCGTCCGGTTCAGTCTTGCTTTCTTTCATCGAGAAGTCGAAACTGGGAACCGACATCGATTCTTCGGAAATAATAAATTGTTGAGCTCACACAAGAAATTCTTGAAACGTAGCAGGTTTATTTTGACACAAGGTCCAACGAAACATCGAGTTGGGTTTCAATCCAGCAATGGCAGTTACTAACAAAGTTTCAGGGTGACAAGGCTCCATGTTCTGAATTCGGTCGTTGAACCGAGCCACGTAGTCTTTAACAGTCTCTTCGTCCTTTTGCACAATGTTGGTAATCGATTCTTTCGGAATGAGGCAAATTTGAGCACCGATAAAGTGTGATCGGAAAGCCGCACGCAACTGTTGCCATTTCCAAATCGAATGAGACGGGAGAGTATAGTACCATTTTTGAGCTCGTGGCCCCAGTGTAAGCGAAAACATCCGACACCTCAGAGCGTCTGAAGCACCATGTAAATCCATCCAGGACGTATAATGGCCCAAATGTGCATCTGGATCTGATGTCCCATCATACATGCCGATTTGTGGAATTTTTACCTTAGCTAGAAGCGCCTCTGCGGTAAGTTCCGGAGCTAATGGGGAATCCGCCTCAATAATGACATTTCCCGACGTCGTGACATGTCGGGGGGAGTCTTCCTGTGACTTCTGTCGCGTCTCAAGTTCAGCCAAACGTTTACGAAGAGTTTCAATTTCCTCTGCACTATGCCTTGAAAGGCGATTTCGTTCAATTTGGCGCCGCAGATCTTCGTGAGCGTGAGGCGCTGATGAAACGGGTCTAGGACGTGGAGAAGTTCTCTGGTGATGAGCAGAATGACTTTCAGCAGTCATCTCCTGTGCAGGGGGCTGATCTGGAACTTGATTGTTCGTTACAAGATTAGCAATTACATGAATCCGCTCTTCTCGACGTGGAGAAGTATGATGAGGTTGCGACGTGGCATGTGATGTCGCTACATGTGTTTCAAGGTCATGATGAGTGTGGGTTGGATGTTCTGTTGGGTTAGTAGTTAACGGCATCGATAACGGTATCGTATTCGAGTTCCTGGGCATGGCTCGAGCTATTAATGAAGTCAAACCTTGAATAAACTCCGGATTTTGAAGAAAGTTCGTGACATTAGTGACCGGAGGAGGTGGTGTTGCACGCCGTGGAGAATGGTTAGTCGATTGGCTCTGGCCAGGGTGAGTTACGTGGTCTCGACCAGACTGCGACATGAAGGTCATGAAGGTTTCGAGCGTGAAAATGGCTTAAAAGCGAAAGTTAACTTAAAAACATAAGCCCTTCCTCTAGCGCCAAACTGTTGTCAAATAAGAATTAACAACGATATAATCGATTAGGATTTGGAGTAATCTTAATATAAGTCAACAGAAGCTTGTATGTTTGATAAAAGGAAATGGAAATTTTTCTGATTATTACTATTGTATCGTACAACATTTATCTGTAAAGTAATCATTACATTTGAAAGGTCAAAGGCGGCTTTTTGTTATTTCTCTTGATAGCATGCCACTTGGATAAACGTAATGATGATTTGTGCTGAGTTGTCGCCGCCTTACAGTAT